AATAGCGGCGGTTATGCAGCTGAAAATGTTGAGGTTATATGAGAATGTGAACACAGATGAGGAGTCAGTTTCAGTTAGTGGAGAGTTATGGTCCAGGAAATGATTGGGGTAATATTTCTGATTACCATATTCATAATTCAAACAGACAGAATTTTGAACATGTGGATTCTGAGAATAATTCTGATAATTCTCTAAACGGAATTTTACAAATATCTAAATTCTCTGAAGAAGTAAAAGAACAAGTAACAATTATGGACTCTGTACAACATATGATATGTTTACCAAGCTATGAGATGGCAAAATAATATCTCTTTTAGTTGATTGTGCAAACTATTATGGGCTATCTAACAAACCGTCAGATAAAAAGATATTTAGTTTTCATCGAAGCCTTTTAGCTTTCATCCACTAAACTATTATCCAATAAAAATCATGAATGTGTTGCTTCTGTGAGTCAATTTCAAATAGGCAAAGAAATAATAAATAAGACTTACTCACAATCAATTTAATTTAACTATTAGACGACCGGTTTCGCTTTCTACAATATGCAAAGCATCTTCAGGTCTAGATACACAGTGTTAAATAAATGATGCCGGTACTCTATTAATTGTTGGATGGTAGAACATGGTTGAGACTATTAAGTATTGTTGAATAGAGAACTTAATTCTGCTATTGTAGTTGTTTGACAGTAAACGGGAAGTTCTTGAGGAGATAGATTTGATCCAATGAAGTAGATATATGTGTGTGATTGTTTGTTAAATGAAAGTGATGTTGTATACCATTGTATTATTTAAAAGTTATTTATACTTATTCGAGAGATATATTTATGAAATGTGTGTTATTTATTGAGTATTTGTTTTATGAAGGTGACAGTTTTATGACAAAGAATAAGTTTAGATGTACAAACTGTGTGGGTGTGCAATTATTTTTCAACTTGTAATTATCAAATTTCTTTGATAAAGTTCTATTGGCAAAATAGTAGATTATTGCAAAGTCGAGTAAATAGAATATTAAAAAATTAAAAACAATTAAAATTAAAACAGTTAAGGACAATTTAAACACACTAAAACAGAAAACACTTAGAAGGGACGAAACAAACATTAAATTTAAAAGGGGAAGGACTTTTATGCACTACATCTCAGTCTTGGGCACAATGAGTTTTTATGTTATCGAGACCTGAAGATGCTTTGCATATTGTAGAAAGCGAAACCGGTCATCTGATAGTTAAATTAAATTGATTGTGAGTAAGTCTTATTTATTATTTCTTTACCTATTATCCAATAGTTCCTAGTACTAGACTTTTAGATGATTTAAAAAAATATTGGGATGCTTTTCAGTACATAACAAGTGAGAGTCTGCTAATGTAAACACTGGATGATTACACATGCCAAAGATGAAACAACTTTTTTACTTAAAACACTTATTAAGCTGTATTACCTAACATTACTTCACATTTATACTTAAATTTTGTGATTTTTTTAAAGAATTTTAAAGCTTTTATATATTTCAAATTGAATTATAACATAACTTTTACTGGATGTACAATAGATGGCAACACTACTGAAACACATTTACTATCTACTCATAGCTTATGTTTTGTTTACTGTCAACCTAACCTCCCTTTCTGGTTTCCAATACATATACTCAATAAAATGTATAATTGTGGTTGTAAGAACTCTGCTGACAGTTTTTGGTATATTTGTGGTGAGTCTGTTATTAAAAAACATCAAAAAATATTACAGACTTTATGAAAAAAAAATTTATTTCTCATACTTTCGAACTTTGGTGATCAGGATTTTGCCCCGCACAAGGTAGATTATGTTTATGTTGGCGTTTTTAGAAAATTGCAAAAAAACAGAGAGAAAAAAGCCTTCAAGTTCGCTGTTTCTATGGTATGGAGGGAGCCTCGAAACCACACTGATAAAATTGCTACTTTTGCAGTATTGATATTACTGGCCATAAACCGAAAAACAAGAAGGTAATAAGCTACCCTAACCTAATGTCCGCCATGCGACTACTACGGTACGATGAAGATTTACCGGTCCCAGAACCTCCAAATGATTTGAATTCTGTTCGAACTGAAGTGTTTTCTGATGTACAGTCAAAGTTATATAAGTAAGATGACGAAGAGTTCCAATATACTACAGAAAATATAGAGCCTAATTTGTTTACACAGATCGAGCTTAATTGCTTGGTTAAGGTCTTGGGTTAACAAAAGAAAAAGCTGAATTGTTTGGTTATAGATTAAAAGACAAGAGCTCGTGGGAAGTTGCGACCAGCATATATGTGTATATGAAGAGAGAGCAGTACTTTTAATATTTTTTGAACAAGAAGATGATTTAGTGTTCTGTTCAGACATTTCAGGTCTAATGGACGAGTTCGGTGGTGAATACAAAAAGAACATTGGACACTATTTATTGATTCATCTAGTTTAAAAGTTCTTTTATTACACAATGGTAACACTTGTGCATTTAGAACTGTTGGCCATTCTGTACATATGAAAGAGAGCTATGAAAACCTAGAAATAGTGTTTAATAAAATTGGCTGTTCTACTCATGGTTGAATGGTATGTGACGTTTGCTACACGTCATTTTATTTTCATAATAAGTGTATATGTATGTATATTACTGTACACTACAAGGGTACTGCATGCCTCTCGATATTTCGCCTCACACTAAATATTATTTCGGCTCGTGCAAAAACATCACACCAAGCGATAAGAAGTATTCATGTTAAAAACATCAAACCCGTAGAAGTCGTGGAGTACAATAAGTACATCTCGGGAATAAATAGAGCTGATCAAATGATTTAAAATTTCTTGTCTCCAGAGAAAACAATTTTCTTTGCCCATATGCACCTCTAGTACATAAATGATTAAAAACTGGAAAAAATCTCTTATCAACAGTTTCCATTAAACAAACGTAGTAAACTTACAGGTCACTTAGAAAATTGCTTCATCACCTTTCTTTTACGAATCAATAATATTGGCCATTATTCAACTTTTATAATGTCTTCATCTAATATATTTTTAGGTAACTTAAAAATGTGTTTTCAAAATTTATTTTTATATTAGGTTCTTTAACATTTTTAAAATGTTACTAATATTAGATTCACGTATGATTTCAAAGTTATCTTTTACATTTTACATATAATGGCAAAAATGGTACTATAAAAGAACTTATAGTAACTAATAGTTGTGTGAAGGGGAAAAAGTTTTCACGATATTTTCAACATTGTGGATTCAATCTAAGAAAGAAATACAAAAGACCAATCAAATGTCCGATAAAACAAGTTTCCAGTTAAAAACAAGGATATATGAAACCATTTTACAATTATATATAAAAAAGAGCACAGAAATGACAAAAACAACAAAAATTAGAAAGTTACAATATTGCGGCAATGTAATGAGACATCCAGAGAGGTATAAACTTCTACACTCCATAGTACAGGGCAAGGTCGCCAAGAAGGCCCAAGCCGAAGAAGAATATCCTGGCTCTGAAATCTCCCAGAATGGTATCCACAGACATTCGCTAATCTGTTTTGAGTAGCCATAAACAAAGTTATTATTGCCAATATAATCGCCAATGTTCGATAATCGGACAGGGTACTAAAAGAAGAAGAAGATGACTAATAGATTATTAGAATACCTTCACTAGGAATATAAAAAAATCAATTACGAAAAATAATATTAGTAGGCTAAGTAAGATAGTTTTTTTATTCGCCACAACTGTATGGACAGGTTTGACGGTTGAAATGTGCAGTATAAGATATTGCAAAAAGAATCTCATCTAGCGATTCATAAATTTTTTAGTGCAACTGTTTTTAAATAAACAATCAAAACGCCAAACTTATTATTTTATTCATAACATAAAAACTTGTCTATTAAGGGATTTGACGTGAACATATATTATTCAATCACAATTAGCCCTGGATTATTGATCCATTTACCCAAATTATCTGGACCAGCGTTAGAAATTGGCTCATTTTCCAAAAATCTTATAAACAAATTAAATTTCTCTAAAACTTTTCAACCGATCTGGTCCATCTTTTGCACTTAATTCAAACACGACAAGACCCTCGAAGTCCAGGTACATATAAAAAAAATTAATAAATAATAAAAAAATTATTAACAATATTCAAAAACAGCGATGATGTTGTTCATTTTGAAATAACTTTTATGTTTATTAACCGATTTTAATTTAGCATATCTCATTTTGTGGTTCTTTCTTTTCTTACACTGTTGTCTGTTGACGTCAAATCTCTAAATAAACAAGTTTTTAGGTTATGATCAAAATAATAAGCTTAACGTTTTGATTATTTATTTAAAAAAACTCCAGTAAAAAATTAAAGAATCTCTAGATGAGAGTATTTTTGTAATATCTCATACTACATATTTCAACTGTCAAAGTCATCTATAATACAGTTGTGACGAAAGATGCTTATTTTTTTTTTACTAACTTGATTGGTCTATAGAAGTGGGAAACCAAAATTGAAAAATAGAAATATGACAATACGGAGAAAAAGAGAACAATTTTATTTACTTTAACATTTCTATCTATTGAATTTCAGCACGACTGAAAACCTTAACACCAGACCTTAGCCATAGGTTTGCACATACTTTTATTTATATTGATACAATTTTTAAGAGTGTTATAAGAAGGTACATAGAACAAAACATAAGAAGAGCAGGTCAACATGTCGAACGATTTAATCTGATAACTAGTGACATAGTAGTGGATATATATATATATATATATATATATATATATATATATATATATATATATATATATATATATATATATAGATATAAAGAAAAAAAAATCAGTATCATAAACAATAAAAAAGTTAAGAATATTCGAAGAAGACAATCAACCTGTAACTCCATTTATCCTATTTTGATCAAATTGTAAAAAATGGTTATAAATGTGAAATCAAAAGAGTTCTATCAACGGATAGGAGTGACTAATTACATATAAAACTAAAAAGATAACACCTCATTTAAATTAAATAAATGCCATTATAATATTTATTAATAATGCCCATTTTACTATTATTATGATCTATAACATATATCACATAATTAATGTAATATAAAAATCCAAAAGCTGCTTTGGTAAAAGCATATATGGCACACCATCAGTCAAATTTGGTGTTTCTAAGCGAAACGTCATAACTGTTCCATTCTTGTAGATTTATCCTTAGAGTAAACACAAATTGACGTTACAATGTTTTGTGTACTCACGCGAATGCCCTGCATAGCATTTGCCCAAAATTCCACTGTCTTTCCTCAATCTACTGGTGCAACACTGCAAGCATTATAATTTTCTACAGCGGTTGCAAAATATTTCAATAATACAAAAAACAGATCTACAAAAAAAAATAAAAATAAAAAAATCACACTATAGCACAACAACTAGTTTTTGAGCGCGTCCTAAGTTTTCTGAACCTCCATCTTTTCTTTTTTTGCTTACTTTCTACAATAATAGGAACATCTATAGTCTCATCTTTATTCGATACGTCTTCAAAACAATCGTCTAAGCACTTCGTATGTGTTTCTTCATCAAATTCGAACCAGTCTTCGTCCGAAGAACTGTGATGACTTTGTAGTCGATTCAATGACTCTGCGCGAGGTGTAGATATAAGTCTAACACGTGTATGTACATTTTTTGGTATTTCCGACATAGCTCTTGTTCTAAACAAAAAATTTTTAGGTTTATCTACGCCTACATTATCTGAAGCTGACCTCTTCATTACGTGTTTCGGTAATTTTGATTCCATACGCAATATGTTTTCCAACCTTGATTTCAGTTGTAAAGGAGACACAGATTCTCTTTCTTCTTCTATGCGCATTGGAGAATGTGAGTGCGAATCTACACTCTCTGGAGTATAGGGTTCGTGCGACAGCATGTCTTTGGTGATTGGTTCCTGCAGAAGTCTGGTGTCGAGAACAGGGAGTTTGTGGAAGCTGGTTTTGCTATAGTCACTCATGTCTACTAATGTTATTTTAATTGAAGCGTACATTTGGCAACATTTGCATTTATCAGGCAAGCAAGCGAAAGGTGCGTGTTCACAACATACGTTTGTACCTGCTTTTTTCTTTAGATCTATCCTGAGATATACTGGCTGCAAAAAATTAAAAAAATAAATTAGTAAAGGTTTTTACAAAAATAAGATGCAATTATCTATAAATTATCTCACAAGTCAATCCTAGCAATATATGTATATCTATATATTATTAACACTCAAAATCCTGTTAAAAATACTTATTATTATGATGTATCTAGTTGAGTTTTGGAAAAAATGCTGAAAAAAATCCGTACATTTTTAATTTAAAATGGGCGTTCGGTAATGAATTTTGTCACAATACTGACAACTTACCTTGTTTCTGAAATTTACTGTCGATTAGAAGAAAAGGGGATTGTTTATAGTTACGAACAAATACATTATATATATATATATATATATATATATATATATATATATATATATATACATTCAATTTTATCAAACTTGCATGGAGCTACTAGCAAATAATTCGGGCTTTCTATAGGTACTCTAACTAACTGTACTAGTACTTTTCTACCAAAACCTAGTTTACGTGATAACACATATTCTCGTTTCTAGGGCTATTAACTATGCTAACTTACATCTTTTAGAAAAAGTACCATTAGTATAAATAAGGACTGTTTTTGAGAGCTATGTTAAGTCTTGTAGTAGAAGCAAATCGAATATTATGACATTATCGGTCTCTTTTCTTCAAGGACACAAAAAAACATATTGATTGGTATATTGGTGGTTAATACACAACCTTTCAGTCTGTAGACGCCTAACGCATTCTGAATCAAATAGTCGCGTACAGACTGAAAGGTTGTTATTAACCACCGATATACGAGTAGATATATTTCTGATTTTGTCTTTGGGCAAGCAAACGAGGTATAAATATTCCTTACTTGGGTATTAGCTACACACTTATATTTGAGGATACATCGTAAATCACCTAGAGCGACCAACGATATGTATCTATAGAGTAGGGAGGGCGAGTTAAGTTCCACAGAACTTAGGCTACAATTGACCCATTGTGATCCTCTCCGAGAGCTGTCGACATTAGCTGTACATTGTCCATCCTGCCATTTCTAGGAAGGTGGACAAGTCACCAGGAGACATCTTTCTTATCTGGGCAGGTGTGGGCCAGGACTCGAAGAACGCGTACTCTCGTCTTAACGATAACTCCGGTCATTCACATAGGACATGCTCTACAATTTAGACTTCTTGTTCACACTTCTTACATAAGGGTGTATCTACTAGCCCAGTATCTGAAGGTGTTTGCTTAGTTGACAATGACTAGTTAAAAAACAAACTGTCGAGGTTTTCCCTAGACATTCCAAGTACTTTGATGCTGACTTTTCAATGTTACTTAGTGTTACTCTGGCAAGTCTACATCCTTGCCCTTCTTCCCATCTTTTTACGGTTTGCCTATGGTAGTGTCATTTGACAATTTTCACGACTGTTGTAGTTGACCAACCAAAAAGATACCCAGGTCCTAAGAGTCTTAGGCCTGCGGCCTTCCTAGCCAATTGGTCAACAATGCGGTTACCCTTATTCCTATCGTGTCCTTTAACCTACCTCAGGATGATGGTATTACCATCCGAAGCTTGAGTTAGTAACTCGTGACACTCTATTACTAACTCTGATGTGACACGTAGTATATTCAAGGTTAGTACCGCTCGTCTGCTATCTGTGCAGATTATTATAGTTTTCCTTATTAGGTTAGACCTTTTTGAGATATCTCTTTTGCGGCTATGGAGATACCTGCCAGTTTTGTCTGAACTACGCTGGCATTTTTGCCCATACCCCACTTTATTCTTAGGTTCAGTGATCTGGAGTAATGGTCTGGACTTTGTATGGTTTGTCAAAGACAAACTTTGGTGTAATTAAGTCGCAGTCTGCCTGTAGCAGGGGTAGCGCCTTCAACTTTCCCCACCAGAAACGAGTTCTCAATTGTCCCATTCCTACATCAAGGTTCCTACAGCAGCTGAGCGCAGTCGCATCATTGTCAACAGCGCCACCTCTTTGACATATATGTCTAGAGGCGTTGACGATCAACCTGGGCGAAAGGCCCCAGGTGCGTCCGACTGTTGGTCGACACTGATCATAGGCAATAGATGCAATTCCTGTCAAGGGTAATACCAAGGTACTTCACCTCGTCAGAAAAGTTTAGACTGTAGTTTAGAATCCTTGGGGGTATTAAACCAGTGATTCTTCTTTTTCTGGTAAAGAGGATCATCTTTGTCTTCTTAGGATTTATAGATAGTGAGTGTTCCTTGCACCATGTTTCTATTAGTGGGAGAGAAACTTGTAATCTCTCACATAGTGTGTTCTCAAACTTACCGCTTTGCAGGACATCAATATCGTCTCCATAGGCTATTGTGTAGAACCCGTTGCTGCTGAGTTGGTCAACCAGGGTGTCTAGAACTATGTTCCAGAGGAGTGGTGGTAGTCCCCTCTCTGTAGACACCCCCTCGTAACCATGCCTCTAACAGAAACGTATTCTACATTTATGCTTATTGCTCTATTAGATAGCATACTGAATATCCATTCGCTTATGGCCAGGGAAACATTCTTGACGTTAAGCTACTGGGTGGTAGTTGGGGATTTGGTATACACTTGTACTTGAGGATACATCGTAAATCACCTAGAGCGGACAAAGTTAATGAAAATGGTGAACTTGAAAGCCTTTTGTATTTATCGATTTCAGACAATCTTAAATTCAGAGTCATCGTTAGAAACCCTGAAAGGAAAAACTTGACGATGGCGATGATAGAAGTGCAACAGAGTATTCTCAAGGCTATTTACCGATGCTTTATCCGGTCCAACTAAGAGTAGAATAGGCTTATGCTTGAAAATGCGTATCTCAAAACATAAAAACCGGATCAAAACTAAAGTTGAAATAAAGATATAAAAAAGGTCTTATCTGAAGCACTAGCAATTAGATTTTACCGCAGAGTCTTTAATGAGACCAGAGGTTAAAACCTAAAATGATACATTGATGACGATTCATACAAAATGATCGTCAAGTGATGAAACCATTTAGACCTGTACGAAAGAATAGGTTCAAAAGGTTCATCCAACAAACGTAAAGGAGAACGTTTAGCAACTAGCTTGTACTTTCTATGAAAGAACTGCAGCGGCATTGTCAAAATTTCGCATGATATTAATAAGTCTCAATGCTGATACAGGTCTTCGATGAGCATTCAGTTTTCCATGATTTTTCTTTACATATTAACTTCATTTTTATAAAAATGTATGAATTAAAAGTATTTGATTTAAAGTTTTAATCTCTTAAACATTAAAAGCAATTTCTCTTTCGCGAATTTGCCAAATGATTTGCAATCCATCAAAAACCACACATTAAGATGAATTTTGCATGAAATAGAAAACGCTATTAGATATACTGCAAATAAGATTAATTATATCATACACTACATATGACATATAATATATACAGTGTGTCCAAAAAGTAACGCATAAAATTCATAATCTTCTTCCTGTTTGAGTTTGGAAAAAAACACAAATACTTCGATTTTTATTTTCAAATTGTAATTTTTTGTTGCATATCTAATTGTTTCTGTTGTATCTGTCGAAGTTATGACGTACGGTAGTGATGTATATTATCGCCACTACTGTTAAACGCATACTCTGAAAATTTTTCAGTGCTCTCATTTTTATGAAAAGGGCTCTCGAGAGAGAAACAGCTGGAATACCAATTAACAGCATTAGGTATGCGGATGATACTGTTATAATTCATAGTGACTTACAATCGCCACGAACTCAGAGGCTAATGAACAAGATGGTTGGGTATGGAGCAGAATATGGACTATTAATAAACATCAAGAGAACATCATCAATAGAAAACTAAATTTGTAAGGTTATCAAAAACCCAAAATAATTATAAAAGTATGATAATTACCAGTAACTCTTCAGAACAAGTAGAAAACTACAACTATGGTACAATAATTAATCACACAGACGATTACTCCAAAGAAATCAAAGTTTGAATAGAGAAACCACGAATAAACTTCAATAAAATGAGAAAGGTACTTTGTACGAGAGAACTGAAATTAGATTTAAGAGTTAGGCTGGGAAGATGCTATATTTCCTCGACACTACTCTAAGGAATGGGAGCCTGGACCATTAACGCAGCGACTACTAAAAAGCTAGAAGCATTCCAACTGTGGATATATAGAAGAAACCTTAAGATATCATGGACCGAGCATGTAAAAAACAATGAAGTATGAGAAGAGTAAAAGAAAATAATAATAATAATAATCATCAGTTCCTGAAAGAGAGTGCAAAGAAGATAATGGCAGGACAAATTTTGAAAAAATTTTGTAGTGATTTGCCAGCGACTCTATGTAAATGTTAAATGATTTGTAAAGATGTTATTGATGATGACAAACACATCTTTTTTTGTTTATATTAACTACTTGCAAACACATTTGGTGTTTATGGCCGAAAATTATAATTTGTAATAAGCTATAAATAATACATTTATAAAGAAGATATTAAACAACTATCCTACAAATTTAAAAATCGTTGCAATTTTTGTATTTGTAATAAAACTATTTTGTGGACTACCACTTTAAAACTGTCACTAGAATCTGAACATATTCAACCACACACGACTGACTATTAGGTTCATGTAAATATTCCTAATTCTAATGATACATGGAACTACGATGAACCATTCAACATCACTGTTACTGTAAAATCTACATGAGAATTAGATCAATAATACCTTAATTCGCCAGACTCTGTCATGCGAAAATCCAAATACACTGGCTGCATAGAATAAACAAAATATTAACGGTATGAAATTTTCAAAATAATTGGTCCATTTATTTATTTTTACTCTTAAAAAAGTGTCTCATTGTTAAGAGGATATCAACAAACTTTTGATGTTTTTCACAAATCATCTGACTTTTGTTTTGCGTGACTATCTGACTACGTGAATAGTATGAGAAGAACTGAATGTATTTGGATGATATGAAATAAGAAAGAAATATTACAATAAAAAACTTCCAGATGAAAAACTATTCTGACATACTAAGATCTCAAAATGACAGTAGCATAAATAGAATAAAAAGGAACCCGAACAAACACAACTCTAAAAGGAAATAAAGGAAATGAGAAAGGCAGCCCCCGGACATAATTTGGAATATCCAGTTATACACTAAAGAATTCAAAATACCTTATACCTTAGTATATTCTACATTTTATAAGTGTGAAAAATTTTGAATTTAAATAATTAATGAGATGGCGAATGGACATAGCTTTTGAAGACAATAATGCAAAAAATAATTCCAACATTAGAGGCTACCAAAAATCACATAAAAAATTACCAAAATACAAAAAACGATAAAAAGATGGAAAGTATTAAACTACCGGACCGGAAAGTAATTCTAACTGTAGTAAAATTTAATTCGGAAAATTATATAATTAATTAAAAGCGGCTTTTTACTACAAGTTAACTGAACAGGAATAAGAGTTTATATCAAACATTTATATATAGTACACTTGAGATTATTATTTAGAGATTAGAACGGGAATTATGTTACAGCTCTCAGAAGCTATAAATTCTATATATTTCTTATATTGAAAGGAGCCATTCTACCCACAAATATATTACAAAATATTTCGTAGTTCACTGTGATTCAGAAAAACACCAAAAATTTCACAATTTTCATAAAAGAAACCAAATCGATGTAAAGTTACCTTATGATCCCCCATGCAGGTTTCCTCTCCCATTAGGCCATACTTGATATCGGATTCTTCGGCGACAAGCTGTTTCGCCTTTTTGCTGAGTAGTACTCTATCACACCAAGCCGGACATCGGGTCTGCATGTATGCCGTAGCTTGTGATATTTTCTCTTCGAATGGATAAGAGGGAGGAAATGTTACGGGGTATTCAGTCAAGGCATCTTCAAAAGCTTCAAGTTCCTTGTCGAACGATTTCAGCTACAAATACATTGTATTAATACCATGCAACAAAATAGGTGAATATAAAATTGTAAATGCCGTCTAGTTATACTCTAGCAAAAAAAATGAAATTAGTCATTCAAAATCACGCCTCGTAACTGTTCGAAAATAGTCGAAATCACTGAATTCTCGGAAATTTTGAATTCGATCATTGGCGGCGCGTGAGGAAATATGTTTCCTTACTAGTCACTTTACATTTAACAATGGAATATTATAGTTCTGCTTATAATAACAGAAAAAATACATTAGATATAGTTTATAAAACAATTTTTCATGAATCATATTGTTACAAATATAATATTTGTGTCAAAATAACCGAGTTAGTCTAGTTAATAGCGGAATTAATCAATATCCTGACATTATGTCGAAATGTGTCTACACAGCAAAATAAAGACACAACAGATGCATCAACAGCCTAATTAGCAAAGCTAAATCAAAGGTTTTCGCAATGAAGCAAATACTTTCATTTTACAAGCGTTAAAAAACTGAAAATTCCGCTAAAGGAAGAACTGGAATACAAAGTGTAAACTTGTTAACTTGCATGGTATGGAACAGGAATGATAACCCAGCCTAACAAAATAAAACAAAATTTGGTGCTTGAGAAATAACGAATTTTAAATATGTTTGATGCTCTGATTTCAAAAATGTCTTCTTTTTTTCATAGTAGTTTTTTTTTCATAATGGATTGTATAATTTTAACTACGCTCGAAAATATATAGACAAAGGCACCTGGAAATCAACAAACAGACTTACAGTAAATAGGATATTATCATGTTATTGTAGACTCAAGACACCAATCGAATATAATAAACGTCCAAAACAGAAGAGAAGCAAATGAGGATTCTGATCACTAATGAATTGAAAGTATGGTGAGGGCCAGCATTTTAAACATAAAAAAGAAATAGGTTCTAAACATGAACGATACAATGTAGAAGGATTCAAAGATCCGAACAAAAATAGAGAATATAAATATCAAACTAAAAAACAGACTAAAACATGAAAATATGTATAAATAAAGAGTAAGACGGGTGATGACACATCATGAAAAAAACAGTTGGAGAATTAGTAGGCATGGAAGGTAAACAAAGAACAAAAAGAACGAATAACTGGTTTGACGAAGAATGTTAGATTATAACAGAAAGAAAAAACGGAGCATATTTACTGATGCAACAGGGACACAGCCGACAAGCACAGGAAGAATATAAATAACTACGTTAAGAAGAAAAGAACAGAGGCAAGAAAATTTTACCAGAAACTGAACAAAAGCAGAAAAGAATTTAAAAAAAGAAGTAAAGAGATAAGGCGAGTAATATAATGACAGAACAGCAACAAAAACTAAGAAGATAGAATTCGTTTGTAATACTCCATATAACGTTTTTTATTGCTGTTAATTATGTGTTCTTAGTATGCCATACGCTAAATAATAAATAATTCTCCGCTACTGACAAATTTCTTTATACAACTCATAGGAGCTGCTAAATAATACTTAGTGCACGCATGTGACTCATTTCATTTTTATTTGCTGAAGATAGAACAAGGTAGTTGGTTAAATTTAAAAAGAAAAATGACTTAAATTATGTATTGGGATCAGTGTACGCACAATAATTTACCATCTACATCTGATGACAATGTAATATTGATGAAAACGTAGAAATACTACTACATACTTTGAAATCACAACAGTTGCTTAGTCTTAGTTAATAAATTTTGTGAAAATTTAGTTTTAAGTAATTTTTGTTTTTATAATACACTATTTCCTTACGTTACACTTTTACCGAATCATTTATTCTGCGAACTTTCCATACCTACAAGTTATAGGCACAGAATAATAAACAAACAGAATGCCCACTCTCAGATGCCGCCTTTGAAGTTTTTCAGCACGCGCGCCATGTTTTAGAAGGAAACACATAATACAGACATATGATTTGTGAGGTTGTGTTATTGTTTATATTTATGTTTAATTATATTATATTCATCTTATTATATTTAACAATGTTAATATATAATTGTATAGTATGTCTATGATTGCCGTAAGTCAATTAAACCGGGTTAATTTTGTCTATGCACACCACATAAACAACATTGGTTCCCTCTAAAACACGGCGGAACGTCTGCGCGAAGGAGATGCGCGTACTTAATTTTTCATGGAAAGTGAGCATTCTGATTGTTTATTATTCTGTGTTATAGGTGTGTAGCATTTTTTTTGCACCCCCATTAATTGTTTATTTACTTAGCACCCTGATATATGATCCTTACATAATTTGCTTTCGACTAATTCGATAGCATACTTAAGCTTAGTTCTTCTCTGAGAAAATCTTTCTCAGATATTAAAATTCGTTTAATAAAATTTCTGATATTTCTCTGTTTCAAAAAACGTTTTCTAGTCTCCACGTATATTGCGTCCATTATTGGATAAACGTCTGGATTTCGAGTGCTCGTCACTGAATCACGGTGGAAGGTTGCAAGCGAAAAAAGCGCGGACTTTGAATTTGGCTTCGAGAGAGGACCAACTTCATCAGAATTTCTCTTGGGGAGGACGCCGTAATAAGTTTCAAACAAAAAATGAAACTGGTATAATTTTGAACAAAAATGGTAATTAGCACTTATTGAATAGAATACACCGTTCGTTTAAAAACAAAGCGACCGGTGATTTTAAATGTCGGTGTTTAAATTTTTAAATAAAATTTGTATCACCTCGACGGTAAAAATTCGATATCTTTTGATCAGAGTGTCCTATCGACAAAAAGGAAAACAGGTTTTAACGATGAAGAGTGCAGCTTTAATAGTCAATTTTTGCATTTTGCCGCAATTGAAGTCAGTTTCTATAAAGCTGTTAAATAAATAATTATTGCGCGATTTTTGCCATTTTTTATGATTCTAAGATCGACAAAATTGATCACTTCCATTGATTGCTTGCTGTAGAATTTTTATTACTAGAGCCTTATCTTGTAGTATTTCAATTTTTTAGTTCTGAAAGTTCCCCTTTTCATAATAAATTAGTTCTGGGTGTAATTAAAATTAAAACTGTTTAACTTTTCCGATGAGAACAAACCTCCACTTTGAACACAACTGTACACGTACACCCCTCTCAAAATGTAATTAGCTTTGCCCGAACATATAAAAAATTATACGGTCTTATTTCCTTTATTAAGTTTTTAGTCTTCTATCGAAATGACTGGTGACGTAAATATTAGTTGTTTAATCGTGGTGAAACTCACATTTATGTGGTAAGAATGACTAAAATTTACTCAATTAATTCCGATATTGAGAAATACTTTTTTTCTAGCTAGAGTTTCGTTGGTGGCTCATTTTTAAATGCCGCTACGCATTCGAGGCCAGACCCTTTTGTAATCTGTTTACCGAAGAGGGTAACATCTGGTTCACCTGTTCATACACATGAAGTATTGCATATGAAGTATTTCACTTCATATGTAATATTTGACATATTTCACATATGAAGTACATATGAAGTATTTCACTTCATATATCGTTTAATATATGTTGAAAGTTAATGTAATTTTTCTGTTACTAAAAGAATGTTTTTCGTCATTCTTTTATGTATTATATTTTAGACAAAAACTAAAAGCTTTTACGTCTTTTTACGAGATTATATCTTATATTTATTTTCATTTATTAATTTTCGAGAAATATTGAGAGATTATTAAATTAACTTGATGATTAATTGATTTTTTTTATATTTCAAGATCTGTGATTTGTTCTAGTATATAGTATAGTTTACGTGAACTGACGGCAATATTGTTTTTGGAGTATTTAATAAATACATGTTTGCTAATTTCTGATATTGGCAGGTATTTAGTTATATTCTTTTGAGTATTTTTAACAAACATGGTTTTAAGATTTATTATTTTATTTAAATAATATTTTAGAGACAATACGAGCCCTAACAACTATATGTTGGAAAAAGCAGTTATTTTGCGAATAAGATACCAATTTACCAAAATTCTTTTATATTATTTTTTTTTAATTGTACATATGAAATTAACAAAATTTTTTATGATGTATGGAATTATTTGTACAGTTAAATTATATATTTTACGTTGATTACTACTTAAATAATGGTTTGATAACCAAAAAACGCTGACAGCTAAATATTGGAATAAGAGGTTTTTAACAAATTAAAATAAAAATTAATAAGGCGTAACGTAGCCCTTAGCTTGAATAACAGACTGAACTCCTATTAGGCAATGTGACAACTAAACCTTCACATAATTTAGGGGTTAAACTATCCCATATTTCTTGTAATTTAGCACGTAGTTGCGGCAAAGTACGCTGAGGGTTATTTCTTAGACAATTTTTCATTTTGTGCCAAAGTGTCTCTATTGGATTAAGATCCAGGCTGGTAGAAGGATGTGACAAAACTTTAATGTCATGTTCTCCCATCCACTTTTTGGTAGATTTAGCCGTATGGCATGAAGTTCCATCCTGCTGAAAGATAAAATCTCCGGATGGATATAACTTTGTCGCACTTGGAAACGAATGTTCAAGGATATCATGATATTTGGCTGCGTTTATTATTATCTCAATAAAATATAAAGTTCCTTACCCATTGGCCGACATACAACTCCACGCCATGATGCCCCGTGGAAACTTTACAGTACTTTTGAGACAATCCTTATGGAATGCTTCTGTTTTTTCGCAAATCACACGCTTTCGATAATCTCCCACACAGACATCAAATTTGCTTTCGTCAATATAAATAAGTTTGGTCAACGAAAGTTTTGATTTAGTTCAAATGTAACGATTCCTTTTTTTGAGTTTCCGTCAACAATGGTTTTTCTTTGGACTACGCAAATAAATAAAAAAATAGAAAACATTCATCCCAGTTTCTCTATTCCTTCTAGCAGTTACTTTTCGTAGGGTATTTCTTCTTCCCGACTTACGTATTCTAATCAAACGCCTTACACTTCTTTAAGAAAAAGCTTTTGGACGGCCTGAGCTTATGCTGCGAACATCAATCC